TCTTACTTACTCTGTGCCATCTTTATCCACCATAAGAATTTTTCTCCACTGTTCATGTGAACTAAATTGTATGGCAGCGTAAGGCACAATACGCGCCATGGTTGCAGAATTTCCACGCCATAACGCCAATAGGCCCTCTTTGGCATAAGTTTGTTTAAGGAAATCAAGAGCGGCTCTAAATGAATATGGTACATCTTTGCTAGAATATTATATTTAATATTGGTAATATTAGTTTAGTGCAGTTTATTTAAAATATTTCAATCTACCTTATTTGAAAATTTATTTTCGTTCGATCCAACGGCGCAATAGTTGTCTTTGCGATAGCTCCAGCTGCAGCACCTGCTAATAGACTGATAAGGACGGCATCAAAATTTGTAGTGCCTTAAAGGGAATACAAATATACAAATATAATGTTAATTCGATGCAGTGATATATATATATAGTATCCATTAAAAAATATAATAAGTAATGTTTTTAAAGATCACTGCAGTATCAGGAAATGGAAAGAATATGTTTTGGTCTGTACATATAAAAGTTGCATAAAAGAAAATATACCTAAGTGAAGATCATATTTTGGGTAAAGATATAAAACTCGGTAAAGCAGATAAAATATTACAATGTGTCGAGGAAATCCGACTCCTAATTCGTTAAAAGGGCACAAAAGATCTTGGGGCAAAATCCTCCAACTTAATAATATTTTAAATAAGAGAGGAACATTAACAATCAACAAATAAATTTCTGTCATGATTTAGGTTAATAGTTATAAGGAAAGCCCAAAGATATTTTTATAGCTTGATATTGACAGTATTTACATTTATAGTATGTCTTACTAATGCCTAATAAAATATATTAAAGACAAATGGAGTAATATTATAGTTTGAGTAGGTTGTTTAGGTAACAACCCTAATCAAGGTTAGCTTTTATCTTAACATAGAGCATTTAAAGATGAATTCTAGTCATGTAAATCGAAGCAATGAAAAAAAAAAACAGATGAATGGTGAGATATTGATTTAACCATATAATGATGTTCAGGAAACTTGTTAATAAGGTACATTAGGCATAATTAAGAAAGTGCTCTTCTATTGTAATACCTTCTTCATAGCAGATGTTGCCACAAAGATTACTCCTGAGATTATATCAAAGAAATTAATTTAAGGTCAATTGCTATTTGTCATAATTATTAAACGTTACTAGTACTATTAAGTACTATTTTTTTGACACAAGTATCAATATAACAGAATTAAATAATAATAAACTACATACAGAAGGCAAAAGTTGTGAAATTAAACTGGAATTTGCTTGTCATAATCAGCTTAATTATATATGTCAGAAATTATATATAGTAATTATATATAGAAATTAAAATATAGTAGAACACAACAATGTTTGGTAGTCTTTATATATACATTAATTTCTTACCTTCATCGAAATCTTTAGAGAGTTTGAAAAAAAGGTTCATCCTTATATCGTAAATTTTGCTATATGTTCTTCACTAAAATTTAAAGTGTTAGAAAAATGGTAATAAATAAGCTGAAGCTATTCCGGTATTTTTTTATCAAGTTAAGTGCACAATAAAATTTTTATGTATAACTCTTGAGAATAGGTATTGTGTAATCGGTTAGTTAAGCATGTTTAACTTAAGTCGCTTAGCAAAAGAACGCGGCAGATAAATTGAAGAAAGTGTCCTTTGGCGAAGTTTGCATAATAAGCCTGGAATATATATAAGCGATCTTTTCTTTTTTTCGATCTTTTCATTTTTTCTTCAGATTCATTTAGTGATTTGAAACTTCAGAAGATTTGTACGGTTCTTTTGTTTTACTAACTTGCTTTATTGAGCAGTAACGGACTTATCCATCTTGTGACCTCTTATAATATATAAAACACTACAAAACTGTCGAAAGTATTTGCGTTAACAAGAAGCCTAATGAGACAAATAGATGATGTGTATCAAACTGTTTTCCTTGGGTTTTTTATTGCTACTACATTGTAGTATCCATTAATATAAGTTAACGTCTCATAGATATTTGTTAATATATGTCTCGATCATAAGGAGTTGGTTGCCCCCTTTTTCAAGGAAAGAACAAGCAAATACACTGAACAGATTATAACAATAAAACTATTATAATATACTATAATAGACTTTTTTATATTATTCTATTCTACACTACACTATCATACAGCATACCAAGTAATAAATCATTATCATCGGAGCAAATAGAGAAGAAAAATGAGGAGGCAGAGAAGGAAGAAAATGAAGAAAAGATAAAAACCATATAGCTCTGAGATAGACGCACAAAGTTGAATATGTATATAGTTTAAGAGCGAAAATTTGTTAGGTAAGGTTATGTTAGGGTGTCAGTCTTGTACCCAAGAAAGTCTACTTGAGCTCAAATGGCTCGTTGTGGTACCACAGGATTGGCGTCTGTTCATACATAGACTAAAGGTCAGCATACGACCAACGGCGAAAGGCAACGACTCCCACATTAGGTAAAAATAACCCAACCTGACAGTTCTATGAACTTCGCTAAGTGCCCTCCTCTCATTAAGTAAAGATGAACCACCTGACAGTTTTATGAATTTTGCTAAGTTCCCTCCACGATTAAGTGAAGATGAACCAACCTTACAGATCTATGAACTGGACTAAGTCCCCAATTTTACAGGATGACAGTTCGGTCAGGTTGGTAAGAAAAAGGACCCTGAACATTTTAAATATTCTCCTAGCTATAGATTAGCACTGACACATGAGATAGAGCACAGTTTCTTCCTCATCCTCAAAACCATAACCACGACAAAAGTCATTATTGGGCAAACCCAGTATGATAGCATGCCTACCTATTATGCAGTGGCCCGTCAGCACCGATATCCTAGTGCTGAGAAAATATTTGATATAAATAGAAGATTCTTTAATCCGAATAGAATGAATGTTTACTTTCTCTGATAAAATAGTTTTTTCTTTACAGAAAATTAATGTACTGACCTTTTTTACTGGTTTGGCCTGTAAGGTTTTCGGTAGTTGTTGTTGTTGTAGTTGTAATTGGAGTTGCAGTTACTGTTGTTGCAGTTGCTGTGTTTAGTGACGCTGTGGTATTACTAAATGAAGCAGGTAAGGATGCGGCTGTTGCTGCTA